ATCAGTGGTGAACCCTCCCAGGGGATATGCCAGTTTATTATACCACACCGCTGTTATATTGCATTTATTGAACTTCCTTTTATAGTGATACTGATGCTAGACTCTTGGAATGGGCATTTTAGATGAACTAAGGACATAAGCTTTGTAGACAGTAGAATTACATACAATTATAAATATATAATATGCCTCGAGCAATCGCTCTTCCGCAAATATCAAATTGAGACTTTTATTAAAACATTTATATTACTTATGTTCATAAAATAAAAGGATTTAAAAGCGCGAAAGTTTCTTTTATACATGAAACGAACTTCTTATAGTTTGCTGAAGAGCATTGCTCGAAGCAAATATTTGAATGTAATTCTACTGTCCTATAAGCTTATGTCCATAGTTTACTTGAAAACCACTTGAAAACCATTTCTAAGATTCCATTCTTCAGTGTAGCATATAAGAGCAGAATGATCCAATACAGTATTAGAGCTCTGAGAAGCGGTCTGGTGGAATAAATTGGCGAAACCGCTGGGAGGGTTCACCACTGAAGAGCCAAGCCCTCCCAATATATTTTTTCATCGCAGTAAAGACAGTAGAAGTTCGTTTCATGTATAAAAGAAACATTCGCGCTTTTAAATCCTTTTATTTTATATATATAGATGGCGCGTTATTGCTTTGTGTTATTACTTATGTCCATAGTTCATCTAAAATACCCATTCCAAGAGTCTAGAATCAGTATCACTATAAAAGGAAGTTCAATAAATGCAATATTATAATATATATATGACAGCGGTATGGTAGATTAAACTGACGAAACCGCTGGGAGGGTTCACCACTGATGAGCCAGGCCCTCCCATTATTTTTTTCATTGCAGTAAGGGCAGTATAAATTGTTTAAAACTGTTAGAACAGTATTGTAGAAAAGCATACAGCAAGAATCCCTTGCTTCATGGTGTGTAGTGGCGTCAGAGGTTAAATTAGGACCATTTTGTCTTTATTCAAGGCACAATGACTGTCCAGCAATACATTGTATTTGTGATGTTGCGAACCTTTTGTTACTGTTTCTCTTTATTTGCTTATCCCTAGTACACGTGGTACAGGCCATTATAATTATGGTGGGTAGAAGTAGGCGACTGCTTTTACTGTAAGTACACCCCATGTCTACACATGTGAAAAGTAGTTAGACTTTAAACTTACAAATGTGACAGAGCCCATTTTGGTTACTTGCACTCGCTGGTGGGGTTGGACATTTTCAAGAATCGGAGGCTTTTGGAGCATTATTTTACAAACAGAAAAAAAGTTCCCAATGCGGAAATCAAACCCGGGTCGTAGCGGTCGAAAACCAACTGTTTAGACCATACTTCCACCGACCCCCTTATTATTTCTTGAGCAGACTAATAATACCATCCTCCAACAAGATAATACCCGACCACATGCAGCCAAATTTAACGAGCATTCCTTCAATATGTTGGAATCCTGCCCTAGTCCGCATGTTTTCCATATATTCCCTCAATGGAGCATTTATGGGATCAGAGAATATCGAATATTCCGTTTATTTAACCATTTAAAAAGAGAGAGGTGCCGTTTTCAATACACAGATCATCCGTTTTCTATAAATTGACTCATATAAATATCAAATTGACCCATACATACATACATAAAAGTCGGTGGACGAGTAGGTAACACCCACGATTCCCGACAGCCATGAACCGGGATTTGAATCCCGCGTTAACATTTTGTTTAATATGTGAACTCCACATAATATTCACTGTTTCAATTATCATAAACTAGGTTGCTCTTGTTGATCTGTTCCTAATAAAGTTATTTTGGAACCGAATCCCTTACATATATTATTCCAACGTAGATAAGAAAAGAACATATACAAATTTTAATCAATCTTGTAGATATATATACAACTATCTTTTGAACTGGGAAAGATAAGGAAGAAAATTTTGAGAGAATTACTTTTGTATGTTTGTCTTTTTTCTCCTTGTATATACCCAATTTGTAATGATGTAAAGAAATATATTGACGTAAATATCCCTGAGTTTGGGATATCGTGCTATAGGATATTAATAAAGTTAAATTCCAACCCGATTCGCTAAAATCATTGATGAAACAATAATTCACACAAATATAAAGATATTTTTCTACACCTATCGTAGAAACTATAGATATAACTTATCAACATTAAAATTTCGCAAAATCTGATTTTATTTTATATTTTACTTAATTAGCGTTATTTTAAAAATATTTTACCGTATATACCGTGAGGGGGGGGGGGGTGGGAGGCAGAAGTACGACCACACAAGCCCCCCCCTAGACCCTTGGATTATTTATTTGATCAAATTCTGGTCCAAGGTGACTAATGTGGCAACGGTACCTCTTTTACATTGAAGAGCAAAGATAGTGGACATTGTGACTGCTGTGATAGAGATGCATGGGGACATCTGAGGCTCTTCATTGGACACGACAACAACAACAATACAGTATAAACACACAAGATAGTGGACATTGCTTCTGCTGTGATAAAGATGCATGGGGACATTTGAGGTTCTTCATTGGACACAACAACAATACAGTATACACACCCAAGATAGAGGACATTGTAACTGCTGTGATAGAGATCTACGGAGACATCTGAGGCTCTTCATTGGACACGACAACAACAACAATACAGTATACACACCCAAGATAGAGGACATTGCTGTGATAGAGATCTACGGAGACATCTGAGGCTTTTCATTGGACACGACAAAAACAACAATACAATATACACACCCAAGATAGTGGAAATTTCGACTGCTGTGATAGAGATGTACGGAGACATCTGAGGTTCTTCATTGGACACGACAACAACAACAACTGTAGAAAATATAAAATCGTTATTTCACTCTTCATATAATAATGCGCAATATCTTTTTGGATATAAATTTGTATGGAAACTACAACGTTATGTTTGGTAACTATGTCCTTTATTGTCTCTATGACTGGAGATGTTTGTTTGACAGCGTTACTAGGGAAACGGTAAATACTTAGGGTAAATACTAAGCTAGGGTAAATACACTCATGGACAAAACTTGAGGAAGTTGTACCTTGGTGGTGGTGTCTTGTCCATCAAATAAAATCTAAAGTTACTCCTAGAAATTTTGGGTTATTTGTGGTTTCAAGTAATTTATCGTTTATAAATAATTTGGATATGATTTTGCTTCTTTTTTTTCTGTCTGTAGTGAAGGTGCCAATTTTTGTTTTGTTAGCGTTGAGTAGCAACTTTAGAATTTTGGCCCCCAACATTCTATACCCTTTAAAGAGTATTTAAGATTGGATTATATTTTGTTTGTGTATGCTTGTATTTCATATGATGATGGTGTATGAGTATGAGGAAGTTGTACCTTTTAGCATGTACGGTATATCGGGATTCAGACAATAACTCTGAAAGATATTTGATATACAGTGAACTTTATTATAGGCAGATAACCATTATATAAATATACACATATATATTTTAATATTATGGTAGGCATATGGAGCCTACCAGGAGGACATGAGCTTTTTAGATCTCAGAACGCCATCTAGTAGAACATAAATCAACTAAACGTTGATTCAACCTGTTCCCTGATATTTGGCCAATCCATTTTCTTGATAAATCAAGAAAAGTCATCCACGAACGCGTTTCGCGCTGTTGGCGCTATTCAGCATGGAGCAGGCTTTACCACTGCGACCAAAACTACTTTTGGTCCTTGAGGCTTCTTGAGAAACCAAGAAATGTCTATAAAAGGTCAAACTTGCGTAAACACGCTATACATATTATGCATATATGATTAAAACTGAAGCCTATAAATTTCACTGAGGAGGGAAATGAGATAAATCATATATGAATATTTGAACCAAGTTATATATAAGTAATAACAAATAATCCAATTTTACGTTTCAATATCCTTCCGGCTATGAGATAAATAAAGATAATTAAATTTGCACAGTGGCCTATCAAAATAAGGTTTTTGCTTTTAACATGAGAGAGGTTCCGATTGATTGGGTTGTTCTGATGGAATTAACTTCTTCTGGGGAACTTTGGTCTCCAAGATATACTTTAGGTCAAAAAAGATCTCAAACCTTTTTTTTATAAATCAATCCTAAATAGCTAAGACAAACTAGAATTAATACAAAGCAATAACACGCCATCTATATAAAACAAATGAAAACACCAAAACGGTAATGTCTCTTTTCACAAACAAATCAAACTTCTACTGCCCTTACTGAGATTAAAATATTATATATTAGGAGGGCTTGGCTCATCAATGGTGAATCCTCCCAGCCGACACGCCAATTCAATCTACCAGACCGCCTCCCCAGAGCTCTAATACTGTATTGGATCATTCCGCCTTTATATGCAACACTGAAGTGTGGAATCCCAGAAATGGTATTTGAGAAAACTATGGAAATAAGATTTTAGTACAATAGAACTACATTCAAATATTATATATAGACTATATAGAAATTATATTAATTTAAAAAATATATATATTGGTTGGTAATTCGATAGAGTTCTAGAATTAGTACTTGCTGATTGATATAGAAAATTATTGATCATTTATCTTGTAATCCATGAGTATGTGATGTTGCAGTAGTGGTAGAAATAATAAAACTTTTCAATCATTAATACAATATAATGCGGCTTATATGATTGTAGAACGAAGTTTGAAAATTATACCGCAAATGTTTCTTTTGAACGAAAAATTGAAATTTATTTTAAGGAGAAATAACGATTTGGAATGGAATTCCCATCCCTGGACACTTCATTTTTCCGTTCATCATTACTCTTCACAATTTATCCTTTCATAATTCATCCCTTAAGTTAGAAATAATCGTTATTTCTCCTTAAAATAAATTTCGATTTTTCGTTTAAAAGAAAGATTTGCGGTATAGTTGTCAAACATCGTTCTACAATCATATAAGCCGCATTATATTGTATTATAAATTACTTTATATAATATTTACGAACGGAAAAATACGTCCAGGGTAGCCTAGTGGACAAGGCAAAAGCGGTAAGCGGAAAACTGTGGGTTTGATTCCCATCCCTGAACACTTTTTTTTTTCCGTTCATCATTGCCCTTCACAATTCATTCTTTCATACTTCATCCCTTAAGTTAGAAATAACCGTTATTTATCCCCCCCCCCCCCCCTCAAAATAAATTTCGAATTTTCGTTTAAAAGAAACATTTGCGGGATAATTGTCAAATTTGCTTAATCATTATTTGCTAGTTTGTTTTAATTAAGCTTATAAAACACAAAATAAATCATTTAAGAAAGTTTTGCCTTATTTAAGGCGTAAAATGAAGAAAACAAAAGATTTATTTACATAATTACAAAAGGTTTGAGCCGGCCAACGGGAAACAACAACAATATGTTTATATAGGGAAAGCCGCGACATCTGGCGGTCAACTTAACAGAGTATTTTATTGTAGAAATTTTAATTTTAAAAATATTATTATCTTTATATAACATATATATATATATAATAAAGAAGGCATCTCTTGACCACGAGCACATGCGCTTTTTAGGTGGCAGAGCGCCATCTAGTGGAGCAACAATAAACTAAACGTTTATTTAGCTTGCTCCGTGATATTTGGCCAACCCAATTTCTTGATAAATCAAGCCATCCACGAACGCGTTTCGCGCTGTTGGCGCTCGTCAGCGTGGAGAAGGCTGTAACCACTGCGACCAAAAAGATTTTTGGTCCCAATGGCTTCCCGAAAAATCAAGAAATGGGTATTTAAGGCCAAATTTGCGTAAATACGCTTAACACATGAAAAACAATAGAAAAAATAATGGCAGAGCACCATCTAAAAAGCACATGTGCTCGTGGTCAGGAAATGACTTCTTTATTTTTAATATCAACACCTGACCCACTTATCTTTTATTTTTTTCTATTGTTTTTTTCATATATATATATATAGAATTATATATCAAGAAAATCCAATAAAATTAACAGAAGATTGGACCTCTTATCTAGAAATCTATGAACTACATTTTTCCACAGAACTCAAGTCCAATTTACCCTTATAAAAAATCATTTCCAAAAATCTACAATGAAAACAGGACATGCTCTCAATGTGGAAAGAATATCAGACACAATGCACTATATAAAAACAATAGAAAAATAAATAAATAAAATGGTCAGATGTTAATATTAAAAATAAAAAAGACATCCTGATCAGGAGCACATCTAAAAAGCACGTATGCTCTCAGGATATGTCTTTTTTTTATTTTTTACTATCCACAATATGAGAAATATAACTTCAAAGAGACAAAACTATTTTCTTGAAGGTTGTGCCGTCAGGAGAAATCAAATTTCAAACAAAGCTAAAAAAAATCTGTTTTTTATTTTGAATTCAATTTCAACATATTCATCCTCTTTAGAAGTCCTTTTAGCCAGAAAGCTAGAAATCTATATATATATAAAAATGAATGTCTGTGTGTCTGTCTGTCTGTGTGTGTGTCCTCTATGGATTCAAAAACCATACATCCAATCGCCGTGAAATTTCGGGATATTATTAGGCATATCCCCGGGAAGGTTTACGAAAAATAATATCTTGAATATCTTTAATATCCTTAGAGTTATCTGCAGATTTGTAGCTTTAACTCGCAAGCAGCGCCACCATTGAGACGGAGATAGGCTTTTTCAAGAGGGGGAGTAATGTTAGGAGAGAGGAGCGCGGCTCGAGGCGGGTGCTCACGTGTCACTGTTAAAAACCTATTTGTTTTGGCTACATCTTTTCCCGTGGACTTAACGATAACTTTTCTAAAACTTATTTCAAATTTCATGTATAATTATTTTTACATCATTTAGTTTAGTATAATTATTTACTATAATTTCCTATCGTTCAATTATTATACTTTTTGTTCTTAAAGATTATTTAAGACAATAATCTTTAATATTAGAAAGTGCTTTGCCAAAAGTTTGGAGTGGGGCAGACCCCGTGCGAGAATGGATTCGCCCGGCCGCCGGCCGACAGTCAAAGTACCCACCGACCAATCAGGGCAGAGTTGGTGACACAGCTATGCCAAGTAGACAAGAAAAAAAGCCTCGCGGGAGCTTGCCCAAGATGACCTCCGGGAACTTCGTCCATCTTCCATAAACGACCATGAATTTATTCAACCTTATCGAGTATTTTTCAAGGGACCGGGAAAAAATGTTCACTAGATAAAACGATGATTTTGTAATGTAGAAAATTAGGAAAGACAAAATTCAGAATGACACGGGACACAGGGACCGGGAAAAAAATGATCACTTTATCAGTTTCAAATTATCAAAATATATCTATTTCTTTTTATAAGTTTATAGAGAATTGTTTTAACAAATGTTCGTTAGACAGACCTTTACTCGGGTACCGATTAATATTGAATTTATTCAACTTATCGAGTATTTTTCAAGGGACCGGGAAAAAATGTTCACTTTATCGAGAGATTCGTTAGACAAACCTTTACTCGGGTAAAACACGGGCAAATGTTCGTTAGACAAACCTTTACTCGGGTAAAACCTCGGGCGAAGCCGGGTACGTCCGCTAGTATTAAATATACTTTTAAAGGAACTTAATTCCAGGGTAAAGTTATTTTCTTTTCCAATATTATTGTTGTTGTCGTGTCCAATAAAGAGCCTCAGATTTCCTCACTTTTCTAATATTAAAACTAGAATATAACTTTAATATAGAATATAAACAATGCAAAAAGGTTAGGAAAAGGGCATCTCCTTATCGTGAAACTGAAAGTTGCTGATGGCTTGCGCCATCTATCGGAATAAATATTAACTATTCTCATTGATTTTTAATTATTCCAGAATTGGCCAAATACCCATTCTTGATTAATCAAGAAAAGGTTACCACGGACGCGTTTCGGGCTGTTGGCATTCAGCGTAGCGTTTTCACGCAATTCTGGCCTTACCTACCCGTTTCATGATTTTTTTCAGGATGCCTTAATAACCAATTTTTTGGTCGTTGAGGTACAGTTTGTACCACGCTGATGAGGGCCAACAGCCCGAAACGCGTCCGTGATTAGCTTTTCTTGAATAATTAAGAATGCGTATTTGGCCAATTCTGGAATAATTAAAAATCAACGAGAATCGTTGATATTTATTCCGATATATGGCGCAAGTCATCAGCAACTTTCAGTTGCACGATAAGGAGATGCCCTTTTCTCAATTTATGCACCTTATCCCAGTACAATATCACATTGTAATATTTTCTCACAATGCTAAAAGGTGTACATTGCAAGTCAGAGAAAGATATATAAATTTAAAGCCAAATTAAACAAATGTCACAGGTTTCAGATATAATAAATTACACCATTAATAAATCTAAATCAGGAAAAGTCAACCAAGAACGCGTTTAGGGCTGTTGGATCTTTCTTGATTTATTAAGAAAATTGGGTTGGCCAAATATCAAGGAACAGGCTAAATCAACGTTTAGTTGATTTCTGTTCCAATAGATGGCGCTCTGCTATCTAAAGGTTAATGTGAACGTGGATATGCTTATTTTTAGTTTAATAACAAACACCTGACCTTTTTATTATTCATATGAAAATTCAAAACTATTATAGACGCGTATGATTTAAAAATTAAACAATTACTACAAAAACAATTTTGTATAAAAGAAACATTCGTGCTTTTAAATCCTTTCATTTTATATGTATAGATGGCGCGTTATTGCTTTGTGTTAATTTATGTCTAACTGGCCTTGTCTTTATTGTTTGCGGAAGAGCGTTGCTCGATATTTGAATAATATTTGAATGTAATTCTACTGTCCTATAAGCTTATGTCCATAGTTTTCTTGAAAACCATTTCTGAGATTCCATCCTTCAGTGCTGCGTATATAAGCAGAATCGTCCAATACAGTATGTGCCTTAGAATGCTAACCTGATAGCATGTAGAAGGCGGAATAATTGTCATCGTCCAATACAGTATTAGAGCTCTGAGAAGCAGTCTGGTGGATTTAATTGGCGAAACCGCTGGGAGAGTTCACCACTGATGAGCCAAGCCCTCCCAATATATTTTTTTCATCGCAGTAAGGGCAGTAGAAGTTTGTATTATGTATAAAAGCAAAATTCGTGCTTTTAAATCTTTACATTTTATATATGAACAATTACTATTGCCTTTTCTGTAAAGGTAGTAGAAATTGATCAATATTTAAAAAGAATCATACATGTCTATAATAGCTTCGAATTTTCATAACAGATGGCGTGCTAATGTATCATAATATATATCTATATTGTTGCACCAGGTTGCGGCTTGGCAGACTCTTCAGCCTGGATTCTCTCCTGTGCTGGGTCTTGCATCTTACCAGAGCGTGTTTCAACCATCCTACAAATTTATAAAAGGGAATAACGAGATAAGTCTTCTTTAAGTAGCCACCAGAATCCTCTATTTATTTTCTCACATCAAAGAGAGCAGTGAAGTCACACGTGTACCTAAATACAAATGATGACAATCTAAATAATCTGTGTTTTAAATAAATATCATAGAATATTTTATATAAAAATAAATAAATATATAATTTAAATTTCAAATATATTAAAAATAATATAAGAAATACGCCATTAATCATGATGTAACACTTCCCCCCTCTCCAGAGGTCGTCACGTCCTCGTGAGTTACCTCATCAATTCTCTCAAAATAGGGTTTGAGTCTTGAGACATGGACAATCAATGGGTCTTGGCCAGGATTATCTTTCGGCTCAATTAAGTAATTTACGTTAGACAGCTTCTTTAATATTCTATATGGGCCAAAATATTTTCTCAGTAGTTTCTCACACTTTCCTATTTTCCTAATTGGTGTCCAAACTGCTACTAATTCTCCTGGTTCGTAGCTTCTTTCCATGTGTTTCTTGTCATAGTTCTTTTTCATTCTTTCTTGAGTCTTTATTGTGTTGTTAATAACTAATTTTCTTGTTCTGTTTATTTTGTCTAAGTGATGTTTTATGTATTCATCATAGTCATCTTTGTCAATGTCCACCGAGATATTCCTGTCGTCCAAAAGAGACGTGGGTTCTCTTCCAAACATCAGGAAAAAGGGAGAATATCCTGTGGTTTC